AGAAGGATGTTCTAGGCAGAGGCACTGTGGCTGCCCCACCAGGTGTGACTGTGAGGTGAGGGGGTTTCGGATCACAGGAGGCTGACTTTGGGCTTTGCCCTGGAGGGCCACCAAAGGGCTTTAGCATGGGAGAGGCAATTACCCTAGTAAAGCTCTTTCCCTTGACAGCGGGGTGAGAAAAGGCAGTCGGGTACCTGGAGACCAGACAGGAAGCCACAGTTCATGGTCGGAAAGGGCCGGAACCGAGGTGGAAAGTAGTGGAGGAGATGGAGAGTGGAGGGTGGGCCTGGCGAGGGAAGAGGAGCCAAGGTGGGGTCTGGTCAGAAGGAGGTGGTGTGGGTGGCAGGGGACAGGGGAGCTGGGGAGTGGGGACTGGCCTGGAGGGAGGATCTACGAGGACTCTGAGTCTCCTTTGGTGTGGATGATGCTGTTGACCCCTGGGGAGGCACTGCAGGGAGAGGCATCTCTGTGCGGCTGGGTCCTTATGTTTTGAACTTACTGTGGTTGAGGCACGGGTGGGAGGTCCAAGTGGAGATGGGCCACAGGCAGGTGGGAATGAACAGTCGGGGTTCTGGGGAGATTCTGCACAGGGGACCTCAGTCACTGGTCATGGTCGCAGCCCCTTTAATGAAGGGTGCTTTAATTTGGATCTTGAATGCACCCCCCCCAAAGGCCCATGTGTTTAAAGGCTGAGTGACCAGGGTGGCACCATGGGAGGCGATGGAAATCTTAGGGAGAAGGGCCTAGTGGGAGGTCTTGGGTCACTGGCAGTGTGTTCCTGAAGGGGATTATGGGATCCTGGCTCCTTCTTCCCTGGATATGGGATAAGTGATTTTGCTCTGCCATGTGCTTCCACCGTAATGGGCTGCCATACCACAGGCACAGAGCAACAGGACCAATCGATCATGGACTAAGACTTCTGAAACCGTGAGCCAAAATAAACCTTCTGTTTTTATAAGTTGATTGTCAGGCATTTTGTCATAGTGAAGAAAGACTGACAGTACAGAGGGCATGACCAAGTAATAGTACACGCACTTCCCCATGCCCTTTCTCCACTTATAAGCCGACATCCATCGTAACCCTGGAAGCACATGAGGAAGAAGGCAGAGCTGCCATTAATCTCGGCCCTTCCTGATGCATGGGAGGAGAGGTGTTCACTTGCTCAGGACCGAGAGTAGCTGCCATTGTCTTGAGTCATGTAAGCTTTGGATCATCAAAGACATCACGGAAATAAAACATTTTAAGTAGAAATAAGAAATAACAAAAAGGTAAAAATAAAAAAATGAACAGGCGAATGAATATAGGAAAGGACCAACTAGAAATCCTAGACATCCAAACAATAATAATAAATGAAACTTAAAACCTCAATAGGTGAAATAAACTTTAGACCAGAAAAAGAAATGAATAAGCTGGAAATATCTCCAGAACGTATTACAGAGAGGAAAAAGAAACAAAAAGCATAAAAGAAAAATTAATAGGCATACAGGGGAGTTCAAGGGACTCCAGGCGTCATAGTAGAGAAGTTCCGGTGGACACTCATCTATGAAGATATATTCATTAATGAGGATTAATTAATTAATTAAAACCAGGGTTTTCAGGCTAAAAGTGTACATTCAATCTATAAAAGTAAATCCACACTTTGATTCATTGAAATAGAACACTATTTAAATATTAAAAGTGACTACAAAAAATAAATCACATGCTTATAAAAACCAAATAGTTAGAATGGCAAACGTTTTTTAAAAAAAATGTTTCTTTGGTTGTTGATGGATTTTTATTTATTTATATATGGCGCTGAGAATCAAACCCAGTGCCCCACTC